AATTCTCCTGGGTCTTGGAGTAGTCATGTTGTTTCACCTGCATTTCATAGATGGATTTAAGGATATTGAAGCCCGGAGAACTAGCTAATTTGCCTAAGGACAAAAACTACCCAGTGGAGGAGCTGGGGTTAGAACCTGGGCCAGGTGGGAGCAGAGCAGTCCTCCCACATGCTGTTCTGAATCTTGGGCCGAGTTTGTGTCAGCAGCAAAGGAGAGGGAAAGAGGGACAGTGGGGCGGGGACCGTGGTCACAAGGACCTCAGCAGGCGCTGGACCGGATCCGCTGCCTCAGCCACACTCTGCCACATCATCCTCTGCACTGGAGTTTGACACCCTCGGCCCGTTCAGCAGAGTCAGGTGGCAATGACACACACACTGCCTTGTCAGGAGCACCCTGACACAGGTATCAGAGTCCAGCCCGCCAGCCAGCGCTGCGTTACACTGACCCCATGGAGGCAAGAGCTCGGGCAGGCCCCCAGCAGGGCTGCCTGGGCCCCAGAGTTCCGCCTGGGCCTTGGCCGCCCCGGGGCTCAACAGGAAAGGGGTGGTGAGCAGGACATCCCGGCCTGGGGGCGGGGCCTGTCTTCCAGGGTAGTTTCAGCTAAGCGGGCTGCGTTGACAGGTGTAACTCACCTGCCCACCCTCTCTTAGCAGGCGGGCCTGAGGTTGCTGTGAGTCTTTTCTCCTGCGCTTTTTCAGAGGGAGGAGAGACTGCCTTCTGGGTTTTTTTTTCTTTTTCTGGGGGAAGGAAATTTAAAAACCACAGGCCCCCCTTGGGAAGGTTTCAGATGATGCCAAGCTTCCCAGGAAATTGCCAGCTCCGCCCGACACCTGGCTTCTCCTGACAAGTGGCCGATCGACTGTCAACCAGTAGGGCCACTGACTAAAGGGACATGGACTCTTTTTAAGGACTGCACAGAGTGTTGTAGCAGCAACAGATCTCCTTCTGGAGATGCAGGGATGTGGAGAGCAAGCTGGGACTTGCACACCCATTTTGCCGAAGAGGAAAACTGAGTCAGCCCTGCACAGAGGAGCGGACTCCCTGCCAGATGCCTTCTGCAGTGGGAGTACCGACCGTGGGCCAACTCCGGCGCTGGGCAATGACTGCTCGGACTGCCAGCTCCCGGCCTCTGAACAGCATATGTTTTGTTTCCTTGTGTATAGCCAAATTTAAACTTAAAAATCTGGTTTCAAAAATCATGTTTCCCCCTATTAAACAGTCTTAAAAAAAAAGCTGGCAGGGATAGAAGGAGCTCTTGTCACTAGGACCAGGACCCGAGGAAGGGGCTTCTTTGACCCAGAGACACTCATTTTTCTCCTGCCTTCAGACATTTGTGCTTCCAGTTCTCAGGCCTCTGAACTTGGACTTGGACTAACACCATTGCCTCCTCTGGTTTCCAGGCTTTGGGGTTTGGACTAGAACTCCTCCATCATCCTCCTCAGCCTCCAGCTTGCAGACGACAGATGGCGGGACTCCTCAGTAGCCATGATTGCATGTGCCAGTCCCTCGTAATAACTCTTTCTGCACTGGTTCTGTTTTCTGGAGGACCTCCTACACTGCTGAGTGAGCAAGAGAGTCACCCCACGGGGAAGGGGAAAGCTGAGTTAGACCTTGCAAAAGGGGCTGGCTTTAGAGAAAGGGAGAAGACGAGGAAGAACGTGCAGGGGGCAGATGCAAGCAGGGCATCCAAGGTCAGGATGCTTCTGATCTAGGAGGGAGACAGAGCAGACTAGTTACATTGGCTTCATCTCCATCACGGTGGGAATAAATAAGGGAGGAAGACGACTTGGCCAGGGGCTGGCGCCCAAACGGCCCGCCTGCTTCTCTAAGCACCATGTTCTGCAATGGTAACGTGAGAGGCAGTCATGGTCATGGTAAATACACAGCCCTTACACCAGGCGTCTTTCCAAGGTCGCAGAGCATGCTAACATGTGGCCTTACTCATCTTCCCGATGCTTCTGTGAGGCAGGTTCAGGGGAGCCGTCGGTCCTCTCTCTTACACAGGTAGGGAAACCCAGATGGAGGCCGGGGAGCATCCGAATCCCACATTCCTAGAGTGAGCCAGCGTGAATGTGTACATGTGTTTCCCATTCCCCACTCTGTCCCTCTGAAAGGCGGTCTTGTTATAGCTTCTCTTTTAGCGTTCCACAGGTACTTCTCACTGTGCCTAAAGTGAAATCTCTGTGTCTAAAGGTAACAGAGCTGGCCCTGGCTGGTGTGGCTCAGTGGATCGAGCACAGGCCTGCAAACCACAGGGTCGCTAGTTCGATTCCCAGTCAGGGCACATGCTGGGTTGTGGGCCAGGTCCCCAGTAGGGGATGCACAGGAGGCAACCATACATTGATGTTTCTCTCCCTCTCTTTCTCCTTCCCTTCCCCTCTCTCTAAAAATAAGTAATTTTTGAAAAATCTGTTAAAGATAACAGAGCCAGATGACACATGGGTCTTAAAGTGAATTTCCCGGCTAACATAACTTCATTCTATTAGCCCAGCAATTTTTAACCTGTGCAGCAAGAATTTTAAAAACGCGCAATACCTGGCTATTTAGTGAGGGGTGTTGACCTCTTTTCCCTTAGATTGTCCAAAAAGAAAACAGAAAAGGAAGGAAAAGACAACAGCAATAGCCATCTGATGTGAACAAATCAAAATTATACCTTTTTTTGATTGGATCAGCAAAATACGTATTTTTTGGTGTGCTGCAGAATTTTAGTAATTAGTTCATATGTGCCATGAGATGAAAAAGTTTGAAGAAGTATTATCTACTGGAGTCTCCTGCCTTCGAATTCCATCTGTTCCTCTCTCTGTGTGCTGCGCCTTCCCCCCACTCCACCCCCACTAAGATGTGAGACATAACCTCGGACGCGAGTGCCCCCATTAACAAACCCAGTGACAGCCACCCCATGGTCCACAAACCTTCTCGACTTCCAGGTAGTGCCTTTTATTCTTCATGGCCCAGGTAACAGAGTATATCCCCTTAGAAACCCACGGACTCATCCCCCAGGGCCGATGTGAGAGCTGAGCAGGCTTTCTCCTGGTTTGCCCAGAGCTCAGTTGACAGGCAGCCCACACTTTGACCTCTTTTGAGTCACCTGAACTGGCCAGGAGTTTGCTGATCATATTGTACCTCTCTCTGCTTTGCAGGGCCAACCACTATGCCTCCCACTGGCTGAACGCAATCCTCTATTGTGTCAGGATTGCTGAGGTTAAGTCAACAAGATGAGCAATGTCGCAAGGGGCCACGGCTCGTACTTTATTCCTGAGCTGCACTGGCCCCGCTGGGTGCCAAAAAGGCAGCATCATGTATCAGAAAGACCATGGACTCTGGGCATCTGGTTCTGCTGTGCCTGCAGGCTTGTAACTGTGGACTTGGCCTTTAGATCGCCCCTCAGGCCTCAGTACACTGCCTGGATCTTTCTCTACAGTGCCTAGCACAGTCTTAGCCACAAAGTACATGCTCAGTTAATGCCATTGACTTGTTTTGACTGAACCCCCTGATAGGACATTGTGGCAAATTGGACGCTCCTCCTCCTTCTAAGCTGTAGTTGGTCAAAGTCATCAGTGGGAGGAACAGACACCGGCCACAGGCATGGCCGATCACTGGCTGGTGTTTCCGTTCTTCTCCAGGACGTAAGGACTTCCTCTTACCTGTCGGAGGAACTTCCAGGCTGGTCCAGTATCGGAGTAGGCCCCCCACTCAGGGCAACTCCTAACCGTGACCTCAGAGCCCTGCCCCTCCCTTGTGACCCCTCCAGTGACCGGCATAGGAAGAAATGGCCAATCGACATAAACACCAGAATCTCTAAAGCCCAGGGCCAAGCGAGAAGGTTCCCAAGGGACACAGGACCATCTGGTATTGCTATGGGGACAGTGGTGTAACAGCGGCAGTGGGTGGCCCTGTGGCAACTGGCCGCTCCCCTCCTCACAACCTCTCCGACCCCCTACACGTATTCCGAGACCCAGACCTGCTGAACCACTTGCCGTTTCCTGAAAGTGCCTCTTCTCATTGCCCCCAGGCTTTTGTATACGCCGGTGTCCTGTCTTCCTAGAACAAGATTCCCAGGCCTGACTCCCTGCTCTCTCTGTCCTTCTGGGCTCAGCCTGGTATCAGTTCCCCTCCTCTTGCCACTCTTCTTCCTCATCGCCCTCCCGGGTGTTGCTCTGGCGGTGCCTCGCCCTATCTCAGACGTCATGTCCATGGCTGTTCCTGGGATGAAAATGACAGTGACCCCGTAGATGGCGTCTACTGAGTGCTTTCTCCTCTGTGCCAGGGACTGTAATTCATCTCGTTGAAGACCACACTGACCTTGTGAGGCGGGGCTATTGTTCCCATTGTGCAGATGAGGGAAATGAAACTTGGGGAGCCTCTGTCTGCGTTGCCACAGTTAGTAAAACACAGCGTCGGAATTAACACAGGTCTGGTTTCCACCAGTGCTTCCAGCAGCCACGGGCTGGGCTGCACACAGCTTGAGGGCGGGGCCACGCCTTTCATCACCGTGTCCTCAGTGTCTAGCACAGTGCCTGGAATGAAGCGGTAGGAGCTCCGTGATGCGTTCGATAAATCCGTGAGGAACGTGGCGGCGATTCGCTACAGCGGTGATTGGCTACAGCGGTCAGCCTTAACCCCGTCCTGATAATCCCAGTGTGCATTCCCTGGCCCAGGCTACCCATTTGGGAGGATCAGTTAAGCCAGGAGTAAGAAGATCCTTCAAGGAGAGCAGCAAGAGAATATCTTGTATCCTGGCTAGGAATGTATTAGACTGGATCGAACTGGGTTGAGTTACGGGGAGAGAGAGCTCTATAAAACAGGTCAGGCATCCAATAATGAAATGGATACGGATACATTGTATTTATCCCCAGGAACTCCCACACAGGGCTTAACAGGGTTTAACATTCTGCAGAGCCAGCGCCTTGGGGAAAAGGGTTCCCACTAAAACCTAAAATCCTCAGCCAGGCAGACTGCTTGGGAAACAGAACAAGGTTGAAGCAATTTCTCTGTTGCAGGAGGAGGAAGGAAGAGGTCACTTTTGGTGGAAACAATAAACCCAAGGAGACGTCGTCTAAAAAGGCTTTGAGTTCTCTGCCGTTAATAAAGAGTCAGGGCCAGGATCAGAGCCCAGGTCCGTCTGACTCAGTGTCTGGTTTCACCCCTGCATCCTTCTGTCATCCCTGGCCGCCGGCCGACTGGTGGCAGATTCCACACTGCCAGCTCCTCAGACTTCCCCCTGCTCCTCAAGGAGCCTTGTTTCTTCTCCGAGGAGGTCAAACCTCAAGACACTGGCACCTTCTGTGAGCTTCCTTGTCCCGCAGTCAAATAAGAGGTGGTTTCTTCTTGTTCCTTGGAGAAATGCCTCCTATAATAAGGAAAATACTGTCGTTGATTTTTTTTTTTATGGAGTTTGAAATTCCCATCCTGGATGGATCCCAAGCATTTTTATTTATTTATTTTTTTTAGCACGAACCTCCATCGAAATTAAGCACAAAATAGGTCCTAACACAACTCACAAAATGCAGTTTTCCCTGCTTGAACAAAACAGGTAATATACCTACTGAAGCCTCTTAATTCTTCTCGAGCAGAAAACACAGCAGGTGCAGAGCGTACCGGTTGCCATAGCGCCGCCTCCTCTCCCTCATCTTCTCTGCAGGTAGGCCACGTTCCTGGGTGCTCCATGGCTTTAGATACATTACCATTTTCTAGGCAGAGCTGGGTCTAAGTCCATGGGAGACCATGGTCTTTGATAGAGATTAAACCTTTCTGGTTCTCCTAATCTACTGCTGCTCAAGTTTATCATGGTGTCTCTCAGGTTTTTCTAATTGAAAATTAGAAAGGTAAGATTATAATAATCTTATCTTCGGGCCCCTGGATTGCAAGCCTTCACACATTCCCAAGCTTGGATGTTGCTTAGTTACCTGGTACATTTAAGAATGGTCCTTTATAGGAGATGAGTAGGCCCTGGCTGATGTAGCTCAGAGGACTGAGCACAGGCCTGGGAACCAAAGCATTGCTGGTTTGATTCCCAGTCAGGGCACATGTCTGGGTTGTGGGCCATATTCCCAGTATGGCGTGTGCTAGAGGCAACCACACCCTGATGTTTCACTCCCTCTCTCTCTCCTTCCCTTCCCCATCTCTCTAAGATTTTTAAGATTTAAATAAAATCTTTTAAAAAGATGACTAAAATCATTTATTCATTCATTCAATATTTATTGACTATGTAGTGTATTGCAATCTGAGTCCTAAGGATATAGATAAATAAGATACTTCCCGACCCTGAAGGGGGTGATAGTCTACTGGAGACTTTAGTGGAATTCCTATTGTCAAAGTTAATTGTGCTTGCCAGGGGCTGTAGGGTGTGGAACTGAGGATGTGTCGTTTAAGGGTATGGACTGGAAACCAGTAGATCAACAAGTCCTGCAGATGTAATGCACAGCACAGTGATTATAGACAACAATATGGTATTAGAAACTTCAGAGTTGCTAAGAGACAACCTTTTCATTGTTCCCACCACGAAAAAGAAATGTGACCCGCTAAAGGTGGTATCCAGCTCAGGTCTCGGTCCTATCGCAATATATATAAATGTGTCGGGCGGACACATTGTACGTCTTAAACGTACACATTGTTACATGCCGATTATATGTCAACTTGAAAAAAGTCAGTTGGTTTCCTTTCGAATCAGAATACGTGCAGCCACAGAGGGTGCCTGCTTGGAGAACCAAATCGCTGCTGTGGAGTTTGGAAACAGAGGCACTTATTTTAATAAAGCAAGTTCACCTAAAACTGCTGTGAACAGTGAGATGTGAAAGAAGGGAAAGGTGCAGGGGAGCAGGGGCTGGAAAAGAGGAGTTCACTCCATGGAAACTTGCAGCTGATGAGATACAATTTCCCAAGGAACAGGAAGGGCTCGGATGACAAGCACAGCTGGACAAGTGAACTTGAGACATCAGAGAAGGAAGAGAATGGCCGAGGGGTTTGACGGTTAGGAAACAATTTTGTTTGAAATATCTGTGAAGCATGGGTGCCGCAGAGGAAGTCAGTTATTAGCAAATACTCAGTTCTTTTTTTTACGAGTGACGCATCTGTCAAGTAGAGCCAACAGCAGTGTTACTTGTGATTTCTAATTATTTTCCAGAAATGCCTTATCAAGATGAAAAGAAATTTATCTAGCAGTACTCTGTCACGTGAAGCCATTACGCTGCTTCTTTTTTCTATGAGGAAATGCATTCTGCGGGTTGACTCTGGGTGGGCAAGTCAGAAACCCAACTTGAACTAGTGTAGGTAAATGAGGTTGCCTTGCCTTGCACAGCCAGACTCCAAGAAAGGCAGCAGTGCCCTGCGAAAAACTGGAGTCTGGGCTTGAGTATCAGCGGACTCTGGTGTAAAGATACCTCTGCTTCCCTCTGCCACTGACTTCATTTGCTCCCACTCTAGGCTACCAGCAGTCCACCCCTTGCCTACCGCAAAATAGAAAGAGACACTTCCCCCAGACTCCAGTTTGAAAATCCCAGGGAAAGGCTCAGAATACCCTCACCTAGGTCATGTGCCCACACGTAGGGCCAGCCACAGGCCAGGAGGGTGGGGGCAGTGCCCATCTAGACCTCTTAGGGCCAGGTGCCTGGCGGGGGAGTTCCTAGAGCAAGGAAATGCTCTTTCCAGGGGAAAGAGGGGGTGCTGGGCAGAAACAAACAAAGATCTCCAGTTTTATTCTTTGCACGCGAACAGCAGTATGGGAGTGTGTTTTTCTGGGTCTAGACTCAGGAGTCAGCTCTCTTCCCTGTAAAGTAGTAGGCACTTACTCCTGAAGAATTTACCCCGGGGCCAGCAAGACGCTGCTTGCTTCAGGCCTGCCTTCACCTGGGTTATTCACGGTGATCTCAGTGAGAGCCCCACCTGAGGAGTCATAATGAGTGGGTTGCGGGGGAGGGCGCTTCAGCCCCAGCTGGTCTGCTGACACAGCCTCTGAGCCGCCCTTCCACCTTTCATGGTTCACGTACAGTGAGGACCTGCTTCCCCCACCGGCCCTGAGAATCTAGACGTTTACATGCTCTAGCCCACAGAGTGTCTGTACATCCAGTCTGTATCTCTCACCTTCCTTTTAAAGGTATTGGCACATTTCACACAGCTTACGGCTATTTTTCTGCTCATTCATGAAAAGGATTTGCCAAAGTAATTATTGTATGCTTCGAAATAAAGTGGAGCGTAAGGATTATCGTAGAGGCAGGGAGCTCTCAGAATCACAGAAGGAAGACAACGTGAAGATTGCTACATGGGTCTAATTTATTCTGTGAAGATCTTAGCCTGAAATGCTGCAAAGATTCATTAAGAAAAATGCAGCGATTCATTGTTTCATTGTTGAGAAAACAGAAGGAACTTTAAGTATTAACCTCCAGATCAGTAGATACAGATACGATGTACAAAATGTGTTCCTGAACTAGCAGAACGGCTTTTAGGACTAAAAATAGTCCCGATGGATGTTTTTCAAGTATTTTGTGTTCTCTTCCACCCACTGATTCAGATTCAGATTCAGATTCAGATTCAGCTGATGTACCTGAGGGATGACTCTGAGCTGGACACGTTGCTAAATGCTCCTGTTACCTTATTTGATTCCCTTTTTGACCCCAGAGGAGTCTCATTTTACAGACTTAGAGAAATCAAGAGTTTTAACCGAAGGCCCCATAGGTACGGAGTGAGGGGCTGGGATTTTCCTGTGCTCCTCCTACCGACCCTTGTCTTCCTCTCACCCAAGTCAACGAATTGTAGCAACATTCAGATATAAAGTAGCAAGGAGGGTGGGGTTGAGGAGAGATTCTTCCTTTGCTAATTTCAATTTTATGAACAAAACCATTAAGCACTTTGCATAGAAGCAATGGAAAATAGAGCAACGCATGCTTTGCGTAGTGGTGAGGCACAGCAGAAAATCCTCTGGTCGTTCCCATGTCTGTGTGCACTTGTGTGCGTGTGAGTGTGTGTGCGGTCTTTATAAACATGTACCCCGTGTTGCAGAAGCGTGTGGACGGCGAAACACAGCAGGACTGAACACAGCAGGGTGCCTCGGTGCAGCTATCCCTCCACTCACGAGGTTTTATTTTTTCGTTGAAAGCCCTGTGTTGTGTGTGTTCAAAGACAGCTGTGTCTGGGCAGAAGCCATGTCGTGCTCGGGATATCAGAGAGAGCCCTGCGCCCGTGTGGGACCACAGATAAGTGTCCCTGCAGGGTGTGCACCATCCCAAGCAACACCATTTGACCGCTCTACACGAAATGTCCTTTCGGCCAGTGTGAAGGTTCTAGGGAAACACAAGATGGATACGGGCTAGTTTTTACCTCAAAATAAAATAGAGTTATCAAGTGGATTTTTAAAGGAACACAAATCAGTTCTCCAAAAACGTATCACTCACAATTAAGCCCATTTTACTTTTGTGTATTCTCTCCTTGGTCATGTGAGGCCCTGTGGTCTCTCTTGGTCAAGGACGACTTGCAAAGGTGGGAACGCCTGATCTTGGGTCTCATTTTGCCAGACTGTATTTTCCCTCGGTGGCGTGCTGGCGCCCTGCGTGTTTATCCTTTCCCTGGCTCCCTGGGGGGGGGGGGGGGGGGGCTGGGTGCTCCAATAAACACACCACAAACAAAGTAAGTGTGCTAAAGAAGAGCCTTTTCTCTCTAGCTTTGGCTTTCCCTGGACGTTTCAGGTACGAGAGCAAGAACCCGGGGGCCTCTTCCTCATTGTGCATTTTTAGTTTCTTGTGCAACCACAGCAGGAAAGCCTGGGATGAGGCCTCATTTCCTATGATGCCTCACCGCTATCAGCCCACTGCGCCTGCCACTGTTCAGCTTCTACCTTTTACATTTTTCATAAATCCCTCTTTTAAAAATAATAAAAGGGAAAGCCCAAACTTCACAATGATTGCTCACTGAGAGCAATGAAAGAGGATAAATCAATAGCATCTCTTCTGCTATTCATTTGGCTTCCTGGGATTATAGGTCAACCCAAGAATTTTATGGAACATGCAAGGGGACGGAGAGGTGGTGAGGGTCACCATGGTGACTACAAAGCTGCAGGACTTGCCAAGTTCATTCCTTAGTCACTCCTCCCCCTCCGGCTCCCCGTATCTCTCCTCTTTTCTTTCTTCCTGCCCCTTGGCCACCCTGTCCCTCCTCCCCTCTCTCCTAATTTATCTGGACAGGTTTCTGATGTTAAGATTAAAGAAATGCCGTCTGCCTGTTCTGATGGCATCAGAGGAAGGTTCTTTGGATTTCCTAGTTGTCTGATGACTCATTCTTTCTCTGGGAGTACACTCTGCACCCAGCAGGCAGAGTGGCTCTTCCCCAGCCCAGGAACTACTGCTGGGCCTATGACGAGTAAGATAATCCCTGGGTGCCTCTTTCAAAATTAAAGCCGAGAATCTGCATTGGTTCCTCTCAGGAAAGAAAGAGAAGTAGTAACTCTGCTCAGAGATGCTGTCTCTGGACCAGGACGGGGTGAGGGTGGGGCAGGGGGGCAATACGTCCTCCTGGGAGCCTCAAGCAGGATATTCACCGCACTCTGTCGTCTGCCCAGACTACCTTTTCAGCCTTGTCTCCTACGACCCCCTGACGTGTCTGCATCCTTCTCTCAAGGCCAACTGGACTTCTTCCTTTTCCCTCTGTATAGGAGGCAGACCTCCATACCTTAGCTTCATGCCCTTCCCACCGCCTGGAAGGCGCCACCTGCACCCGAACACAGTACAGCCACGCTCACAGTGGTTCAGGCCCCCTCGGCGGAGGGTAAAATGCAGCCAGGCTGTAAGGCCCAGGGCTAGCCCGTCCCTCCTGTGTCCTCCCTGGAGCAGCTGGCTGGATTCCTCCCTGCCTTTCTCCTTGCATGACAGCCTCAGAACTCACACAGCCTCCCTTTGCCACAGTCTGTTCGTCAAGGCAGTCAGTCACCCCTCGTGTCCCGTTTCAAGGCAAAGAGCAACGGACTTTGCCTTTTGATGGGGGAATACAAGGTTCCAGAAGAGCAGGCGGGACTGGACACATTTCTGTGACACTCTACCACAGTCCTTGTCACGCTTTCTCCTGCAAGCGAGTCTGTTGCACCCACCTAGTGCTGTAGGAAAGAGGCCAGATGTGAGCCACAGAGCTCTGTTGGGTGGCAGAGAGACTCCTCGGTGCCGTGACAGCAGGACTGGCTGCAAGTTGCTTTCACACTAGAGAAAGAAAGGCCCCACCTTCATCCTGGAAGAGGTTCAGGGGGTAGCCTGGGAGCTGCTGTTTTACTCGCTTTCTGACCAAGACCAGTTCTGCCGAGAGACTCCCTGCCTTGTTGAAGTTTACCTTCTAAGTTATGTTTATAAATGCAGTTATAAAGCCATTGCTTGGGTGTGGAAGGACATCAGAGTCAACAGTGAAATCCTGGGAAAAGGGCAGGGAAAGAGGAATGTGAGGAATGGGGAGTGTACTGGTGGAAGGAGCTTTACTAAGTTCTTCCGTTTATCTTTGCCAAGGGGGCAGTCTTGGTTGATAGTCGCTGGATCTTGGTAGGCAGAAGCAAGCGGAACGATCTCCAAGCAATGACAGAATGGGCAATCTGTGCCAACATGATTATCATCTGCTTCCTGCTCTCAGTAATACACAATTTGATTTCTTTCAACTAGAAAATACACATTTTACCCCATTATGTGCCTATTGGGGTCTGTGAGGAGCATAGGTGAAATTAATAGCAGATACAGTTCATTGCAATTGTGGAGATACATGCATCACATTAAAATTTTTAGCCTTTAAATAGGTTCTGCACCAAAGTAAAATAAAAAACATGCAATGTTTAAAATTAACCAAAATTATTTTACATGTCATGTAGGGTTCAACATGTAAATTATAGTAATAAAAATCCCTTTCTTTTTCATCCCTGTTCTTCAACAATAGCATTTTTTTTCATTTGAAACTTCTTAGCGTTTAATTTTTCTTTTCAATGGCGTTTTGGGAGATGTGACTGTAACTCCTGAGAGTTCTCATAAAGGCCAATAAAGGCAAAATGTTTCCAAAAAGTCAATTTTTAATATTTCATCTCACAGGTTATATATTACTTACTTGGAATTGTATTTATTTTTGTTTGATTTAATTTTAAATGGAAGTATGCACAGAAAGGTCTAACTCTATGCATAGAAGATGCTCAAGAAATGTAAATACCCCAGTTCATGAACTGCAGCCCTCATCACCATGAGCATCCCCCACAGTTAGGCTTGATTGAATGGCTCCTTTGTGCCAAGGGAAATGCTGAGTGATGTGGGAGATACAGGGATGGAATAAGACACCCTCCCCCCTGCCCAGCGATGACATGCTAACTACAGTGCAGGTTAGAAGGTGATGAGAATCTGCCTTCTGGAAATCCCCGAAGCGAAGAGACTGACACTGAGCGTTCGGCAAGAGGAAAAGATCTTATGGAGAAAGTGTCGGCTGAGCTGGTGTGCAAAGGGGCTCTATAAAAATGCTATCTTCTCACCAGTTTCCCAACCTCCCCTGGAAGCATCGCTGTCACTCTTCATCAATTATTGAGAGATGTGGAATGATTCATGTCTAATGCTTTCCTATGGAACAGACTTTCCCACTGACTTGGATCAAATGTCCGAGTCACTGGAGTGTAAGGAACAGGGAGCTGTTCGTATTGGAAGGACACCACACAAGCTCTTCAGTCCTGGCGCATCTTGAACAGTGTTTCATGCCGATCCTTTAAAGAGGTGCAGACGGGCACACTGTAACATCACATTCTCTCGCTGGGTGAAATGAAGAGGAGCATTAACGCAATCCTTATCATGATCACAATTCAGGCCCCAAACCAGGATAATGACCGAGTAGCTGAGGCAAAGTTAGTTTTTCTCAACTATTCAGGTAATTGCGTTGCTTTATAAAACCATTAGAAAGATTTTTTTAAGAGACCCAAATAACAGGGAAGAAGGAAGTTTTAGGAAATGGAAAAAAATCACACTTGAAACACTAACGAGGCGATTCTGAAAGCAGGAATAGCAAGGAGAGTTCTAGTATTGTTTTCGTATTCTGAAAGAGAAAAGCAATGTCTAGGAAAATGTTCGCTAGTCCAACATCTCCACTTTGTATTGTCTCTGTATCCTCTTCAGATTTTCAAGTGCAGCAACTGAATGAAACAATTGCAAAATCTATACATCAAAGCAGACTCCTTGCCCTATATATTCAGGATTTATGGGAATGTGAAAAATATTAAAATGCTAACAATATGAACATATTTTGCACGGAATCAGAAACGTCATGAAAAAACATCTTACATTTTAAAAAATTCAAATTTATATGTGCACATGGGAATCACAACACATGCATTATGTCACAGAAACTTTGAAGTCTTAAAACAAGGAAGAATTAATGCAAAATAGAAACTCGGGTGAAGACGCCTTACTTGTAGGGAAGATGAGTTCTACTTTATGCATGTAAAATTTGAAGTAGCGGTAGAGTATCTAAGCGTTAGGTCCAGCCATTACTTGAGCAGAGGTTGGGATCTGGTAGTCTACAGTAGAGTTGAAAACTGAAATTGTGAAGTGTCCAGAAGAAAAACTAAAAAGCTCGGAGGACTGAAGATTAAAGCTTAAGCTGAAACTTTGGAAATGAAGCTGGCAAAAGAGAGAAAAGGCTATTTATTGAAATAATAAAAGTTAATGACTAATAATTAGGTGAATGGCAATGCTACCACTGGGGTATCAGTAAAACCTCAACTGTACAAAAAAGGAAGAAACAAAAAAAATAAAGAAAAGATATTTATCTGCTAGTTGTATGCTCTAAAAGATCATTGCTGGGACTTGGCGGAAAAGCCGTGGGGTTGGCGCGAGAACCGGAGATCGAAGAGGCAGATTTGCGATGAGCCAGTGCCTCTTCCTCTATACCGTCTACCATCTAAGAGAGAGACGTTTAAAAGCGCTTTGGGAAGAAAGGCAGTAAAGCATTTTGGAGTTTCGGGGAGTGTCCCTAAAGGGAGATCTTTAGGGGCCTCTGGCATAAAAATCTGGCGTGATCACAGCTCCTTACTATAAAGATTGAGGAGAGGTCACTTTTTTTTTGCCCCAAACGGTAGCTTTCTTCGCTTCGAAGAACCCCAGGACTTGGAGCTCCCCAGCAGAAGCCGCAGTTTTCCCCTTCCAGACCCTCAGCCCCCCACCCACCGCAGGAATCTCGCAGAACGGAGACTAGCGGAGCCCACCCCAACACTGGAATCCAGCGGGCGGTGAAATTCTCCTGGAGGCGGAGAAGCAGCTAGAGACTTTCCGTTCTAACCAATCAGCTGAGAGGAAGTTCTGACACACCCCCTTTCTGTTTACCAATCAGCACCTAGCTCGATGGGCCGGGTCCATTCACAAGGGAAAGGCACCTTTTAAATTTTATTAATATAGATTTTTCCTCCATCGTCAACCTAGGCCATCCCTCAAACTGTGCCCAAAGAAGAAAACTGAGTGTAACAATTCCATAGCTGGTCAATCTGGCAGTGAAAAGCGAAACTATAGACCTCCCTCCATCGACTCCTTGATTCCAGGACTGATGGAGAAAGGGAAAAAGAAGTTCCAGAGGGTAAACTACAACTCCCAAGAGGCCTTGCGCGGACTCTGCACCCACTTGGCGAATGGGGACGGGACATAGTAAGTGAAAAGGTTGAGCGTCACCGGGCTACGTTCTGATTTCCCGAACGCGAGCCACTGACTGGGCGGGAATGAAGGTGGGCGTGGCAGCGGCCTCACAATTTCTCCACCTTTGAGTCCTCCACCCACCGGCTTCTCCGCCTGAGTGTCGGAGGGGGCGTGGCCCGCGCGGGGGCTGGTGGGGGTGCAAACGCCGCGGGACTTGGGTGACGCGGCTGCTTCCAGCTCAGCGGCGTGTGAGGTGTCGCGGCCCCGCCGGTGATTGGCTGCGGGCGAGCGAGTACGCAACGGCAGTTGGTCGCTGGCGGCACGGAGGGAGAGCCGGGGCGGGCGGGGGGGGATAAGGGGCAGCAGTGGCGGCGGCGGCAGTGGCCGGAGGAGGCGGGCGCGGACGAACCGGCGGCCGCGGCAGCAGCGGCAGTCCCCGGAGTCCTCCCGTGAAGCGCCCCCGCCGGCGCCGCCGTGTGTCCCTGGGAGAGTGTGGCCCGCACGCGAGCCGCGGAAGAGCCGCTCCCAGGGCGCCGCAGCCCTTCGGACTCTCAATCCCATCCTCGCGCTCCTGCTCCGGCTCCTCCATCTTGGCCTCGGCAGTGGCGGCTGCCGGGAGGATGTGCCGCCTTCTGGCCGGGGGAAGAAGGAGGAAAAGATGAAGAAGTACCAGCGGGCCTTGGCCCTGGTCTCCTGCCTCTCTCTGTGCTCCCTGGTGTGGTGAGTACCCTCGACCGCCCCGGATTTCCCCGGGGCGGGGGGAGGGAGGGGGAGCAGCCTGGGTCACACCCCCACATCGTCTTGACTTTAGGGTACGGATCTCTAGGGTCCCTAGGAAGCGACTCTCCCGCCGACTCGGCAGGTCTCGGTGCGGAGATGTTCACGGTGTATTTTGGAATTTATGGACCCTAATGGGAGAGAAGGGTGCCTGGGTCGAGGGGGACCGCCTGGGGGCCTTTGTGTCCAGCGACCCCGCGCCTTGGGGGCGGCGGGTGTTGGGCGGGCAGCGTGGAGATAGGTGCTGGGCGAGTCCCGGCAGCGCTGGCTTTGGCGGGGCGGTGAGGGCAGAACGCGTGTCGGCGGTGACCCGCTTGCTACGTGCGACACTACAAACGCTCGTGGTCCCGGGGCGGGTTCTGCGGTGCTCGCCTGAGTCTGGGACGTTTCGCCACGTCTTTGGCCCCCAGCGCCCTGGGGGCTGCTGCTCTGGGAGCCGGAGGAAGCGCTTTTCCCCAGAGGCCTGGGTGACGAGGAGCCCTGCTATAGAAAAGGGTGACTTAGATGTGGTGTGTACGGTGCTTTCTGTGGTGTGGCTTGGGTGATGTTCCTTAGTAGTGGGAGGGCTGCTTTGTCTCTGAAGTTTATGGAGTTTCTGTTCATTCCTGCCACATTTGGGATTTTGGGTTTGTGTGTTTTGAGGAGCAGAGAGAGCTTGTAGGTCAAAGGGTTGCTGTCAATGTATTTGGGAAAGTTTTTCTTCCCTCTTGGGGAATTTCTTCAGAGATGGGTGACATTTGCTGACTTAAAAGGTGCTGTTTCATTCAAAGCGATTTGCTGTTTATTAAAATGAAGATAGACTAAGTTCTTGGTTTAGCTTATGTCTGCAAACCATCAACAGTATTTTAATTTTTATGGGTGGCCAGTGAATTCCAAAGACAGTGAAGTGGATGTGTTTTTGCCCACAGAAGACAGTAGCAAATAAGAGGAAAAAAAACACACTTGCCTGGCCGAGGAAGTTTGATTGGAAGGTTGGTAGACGTTTTAGAGGAAAAGAAATTTGGCCTTTTGTCTTTCATTCCAGACCCTCTTAATAAGACCAGTGTGACCCATTCTGTCCCCACGTTTTTAGTATCACCATGGGTGTCAAGACGTGCAGGTAAGAGATGAGTCCACTTACACATTTGAAATACAGATTTGTAGGTGAGATACCAAAACCTCGTATTCATGCCTGCCTCTCCCGGGGGCTGCTGGATTGTTGGTGGATTACACCTTTTCTCTTCTCTGTTGTCTTGCCCTTCTTTACACCTTGTTATTCTTCAACAGCACTTTCAGGAACAGGACAAGAGCTTACACTTTTCATTCAAGTTTAAAATGCACCTGGGATTTTTTAATTGGAATATTTCGGATGCATAACATTGTGCACATTTAAGGTGTAGAACATGTAGGTTTGATACATTTATTACATATATGGCAACATGATCACCAGTGTAGCGATAGCACCTGTCATATCATGATTATCTTTTTTCTGTGTGCGAGGGTGGAATAAGAATCTAGTCGCTTAGCAAGTTTGATGGCTGTCACCCTGCATCACTGTCTGCATTCGCTGTACTGGGCTTAGACCTCCAGGGCCTATCTACTGGTTGGCAGTTTGTACCCTTAAATGTGATTTTAAAAAAATACGTAATTGAATGGTGGAGATTAAAGCGAGTGGATTTAAATTAACCATGCCTCTATTACTTTGTGTAATTTTTGGCTATGTTTTGCTTAAGCTAGCCAGCCTCAGCTGATTTCTCAACTTTACTCATTAGCAGTAATGAGGATATCATGACCTGTTGGGAGGGGGGAATCAGTCAGCCTAGTATTGAAAATAGTAGTCCTCAAGTTCTGTAAAGTTTGTGGACTCACACTGTGAAAAAGGGATGTTGAGGGTTTAAGTAAAGAGTGAAAGGTTCGCTGTGGCAGCTCAGTTGGCTGGACCATCGCCCTGTGCCCTGAAAGTCTGTGGGTCCCGTCCCCAGTCAGGGCACGTGCCCTGGGTTGCAGCTTTGATCCCTGCCAGGCCACATATAGTACGCAACCAGCTGATGTTCTCTCTCTCTCCCTATCTCTCTCTCTCTCCCCTCCCTCTCTCTAAATGCAAGAAACATATCCTTGTGTGAGGACTAAAAAAAGAGTGAAAAGTTTAAGAAACTTTAGCTTAAACATATGGGTTAGTATATTTTGAGATTTGTTTGGACTGCCAAATGTAGAGACATTTTAATTATTTTTTACTGAAGCCATTAAAATAGGATATTTAGGCTTGACATTTTCTTGGAAAGGTGCTGATGAGATTGGGGAAGATGAGTGGTGCATGGTGGTGATTGGAAAAGTGTGGATTGTGTCTTTTGAGACTTCTTTGGAAAACTGAAAGAGTGAGATTACAGCCCTGACCCAGCCCAAGATCTGACTTTTGCCGCAGTCCGGTCGGTTGTTTCTTCCTGACGTCTTCATTCCCACTTAGGTCCCTAAGGCCATTGTCGGCTTCGACAGAAGGTTTGTTGAAGAGTTGGTAAACTCCTCTTAGTAGCCAGTTTGCCATCTTCATCATTTGTAAATCGATACAAAATGTGTGATAAGCTGACCTATTTTGTAAATTTTGAATGTGTGATGTTTATAGTGCAGCAGTCTGTTCTCTAAGGTTCTCTCCCCTCCTGCCTATGTGACTGAGTTTTGTTATCACCTTGTTTGTCTCACATTCAGAGATCTCGGTCGTGTCTTCCCTCTCCTTTGTCTTTCGGCCTGGAGTCCTGACTTCAGATTATTTTCACGGAAGACCCATCCTGTCCACCTTATTACTCATTCTGGTCACTCTGTTTTATTTCTGCACCTTTCGTGTGACTCTTTAGCAATTAGCCCCGTGTTCGGGGCATGCACGTACTACAGCTGCAGCACGCAGAGATGTGACAGCTAATATGTGTTGTCAACTGCACTGTGTACTCTGTACACGTGGGCGCCTTTAACCTCCACAACAACCTGATAACATAAGTACCATTTTAACCTCATTTTGCATCTTGTAGTAAAAGCAGTAGAAAAGTAACTTGGCTAAGGTTGAGCAGCTAATAAGTTTTGAAGCTTGGATTTGAACTTAGGCAGCCTGGTCTGTAGCCAAAGATGCCGACTGTGGGGTCCTTCCACAGGAGGTTGGAGGGCTCCCATCACTTTCCGGGTGTGTGTCCCTGGACATGTTATGTACTGTCTCTGAATCTCAACTTTTGTATCCTAAAATTGGGAAAATAAATCACTCACACCTCAGAGTTATTAGGAGGATGAAATGAGATGACATACGACAGCTTTGTAAAACTGTATGGGTATATCATCTTCATATTTCCTCACAAATTCATTCAACAAAGATTATTCATGTGCTTATTATGTCCCAGGTATTGTTTTAGGCATGGAAAACCTTAAAATGGGGTGACCCGCCTTTTCTAGTGTGAGTAGTGAAAGCCCCACATCCCAAGAATCCCCTGAGTTGGTTTCCTATTGCTGTTGTGACAAGTTACCAAAAATTACCAAAAATGCAGCGGCCTGAAACAGCCCTGGCCACTGCATTACCTCGTTACCCTCACAGTTCAAGGGTCAGAGGTACAGAGTAAGTCTTAACTGGGTGATGTCACAGTATCAGAAGGGCTGGCTCCTTCTTGAGGCTCTGAGACAAGAACCTGTTGTTCTGACTTGGTCAGCTTCTGGGGGCCTTCTGCCTTCTGTGGCTCCTTCCGCACGTCCTTCCACCCTCTGCTTTGGTCCTCACATCTGCTACTGCCTCTGGTCCTCCTGCCTCCTCTCATCAGGACCCTTGGGATCGATTACCTTGGGCCTAACCAAACGATTAGGATCTTCTCCCCCTCTCAAAACTCTTAATTTAATCCCAGCAGCAACCTTTTACCATGTAAATTAACATATTTAGGGATTATGACTTCAACCTCTCTGGGGCCATTATTCGGCCTAATATACCCCCTCCTTACTGGGGAAATTGCTCACCACCTGAAAGGGGAAAAAGGCTTGCTCCGTGCCCTAAACAATGGTTAGTCACTGTTTTTGAGCATGTCTCCCAGTCAGTAAAACCATGTGCACGCGCCTTTTAGTATCTGCTTGTTTGTAAGTTATATATATGTGTGCCAGTATGATCTTAGCATGTTAGGGTGCTAATAAATTAGTATTCACAGTAAGTTATGTAAATGAGATGAGAAAGCAAAGTAGCAAGCCTCTGTTAATGGTACCTCTTTGCTCTCATTTAAAAGGTAATTTTTGGTGACAAATGTGATTGACTGACTAGGTGGTTTTATGTTGCCCTGTGGGCGCAGAACTGCTCGTACTGGTTAGAAGTCTCAACCCTGCACTTTCTGATCCGCTTGTGCTGGGTTTTGGTAGCTAAGACAGGGTAGCTGCTTTCGTGGAGCCAGTTGTGGTTAAGAGACTATATGCCAGTAAAATTATGACTCTGTGAAATAAAGTTTAAAGAGAGAAGAAAAGTTAATTTAAAAAAACTGGGGCAACTAGAAGAATTAGAAGTGTTCAAAAAGAAATGGAAGAGTTCCAGAGATTTGAAAGGAGAAGGAGCTGTTCAGGCAAGTGGAATATCCAAGTGGAGATGTAATATGGGCACTTAAACATGTCGGCTTCACTGCAGTAAGATTTGGGCTAGAGTCGTCCTCGTAGAGGGGATCAGTTTCGAAACAGAATGTTTGACTCCACCAGAGCTTCTGCGTGTAGTTCGGATAAAGGAAGAATTGTGGCCCAGTGAAGCTCTCGGGGGGAAGGAGGAAACTGGTTCGAAGTGAGAGATGGAAGGAGGCTGAAAAGCTTGAAAACTGACAGAAGGGCCTTGTTTTCAGAAGAGGGAAGTGACTGATCAGCTTATGGGAGTGGAAAGTAGAAGATATTTGGAGAGCTGGTCAGTGTGAGTTCTCACACATTGGTGTGGCAGCCAGAGAGAGAAGAGGCTAGAGCAGCCTGGCAGTTGT